TGCCGCGATGTATGTGTATTGTGTATGTATGTGTATCGTAAGGGCGGAATGATGAGGGGAGGGGAGGACCCTGCCCAGTGCCCGCCCACAGCCACGTCGCCCAATTCGCCAGCGCCCAGCCGCCAGCCTGGAGCCACCGGCGAACAGCTGACCTCGGCGGTACGACCGGGCGGTGGTGCTCCGCTGTCCAGCTCGCCGCGCGGGCCATCAGCCACTCCGCCGCTCCCCGCGACGGCAAGTGCCGTGACAAGTCGGGGGCGGCGGTGCTCGGTCGCCGTCTCGCCATTCCACCCGACTGCCCAGCTGCCCGGACCCCGCGGCGTTCAAGAGCCGCGGCAGTACGGGCGGCTGCGCTCGGTCGCCGCCCCGCCCTTCCAGCCGTCTGCCCAGCTGCCCGGACCCCGCGGCGTTCAAGAGCCGCGGCAGTACGGGCGGCTGCGCTCGGTCGCCGCCCCGCCGTTCCAGCCGTCTGCCCAGCTGCCCGGACCCCGCGGCGTTCCAGAGCCGCGGCAGTACGGGCGGCTGCGCTCGGTCGCCGCCCCGCCATTCCAGCCGTCTGCCCAGCTGCCCGGACCCCGCGGCGTTCAAGAGCTGCGGCAGTACGGGCGGCTGCGCTCGGTCGCCGCCCCGCCATTCCAGCCGTCTGCCCAGCTGCCCGGACCCCGCGGCGTTCAAGAGCTGCGGCAGTACGGGCGGCTGCGCTCGGTCGCCGCCCCGCCGCGCCATCTGCTAGCAGTCCATCCAGCCCGCGCAGTGCGTGACGGTGGTGCTCGGTCCGTCCCTCTTGATGCGCCAGCTAGCAGCCTCCCGCCGCCCAATGCACTGGTAGCCGCGGCGCCATTTGGCCGCGGCGGTACGGTGCGCGGCGGTGAACGGGGCTAGCTGACCTGACGGCGCCCGCTAGCTCTGCATTGGCTGGGCCGCTGATTCTGCGGCCCGCTCTGCAAAGACGCTACAGGGCAGCTCCCGGTGGTCAGCGCCATCTACCAGCAGCTAACCAGCTGGCGGCAGAGTGAACGGCGGCGGGCACGACGCGCCACCTGCGTCCGTAAGCCGCCGCCGCCGCCGCCCGCCGCCACCTGGTGGCGCGACCCCGGGACGCCTAGCGGAAGCCGCCGAACTCTGAGGCGGGTCGAGCCGGAGGAGACACCCTCGACAGCTGGCCATGAAGCTGGAAACGATCAACTAACACCTGGCAGCATGCGAACACGCTCCATACCACCAGTAGGGGGTACCGACTGCCGCCCAAGAAGCCCCGGACTGCGGCGGTGGCGCTGAGATAGAGTGCGGTCGCCCAGGGAGGCGGCCGCCCACCAAGGTGTCCACCGTCCGCGAACACCGGCTATGGGCGGTAGCGTGCGCTACCGGCTGAGCATCGCGCGCGTGTGCTACCAGTCCAGGCGACCTCCAACCAAGGACCAGTTCATGGCGGGAGGTCGAGGGCCAGAAGAGCGATGCGATACGAGCGAGCGTGGGAAGGAAGAGCTGGCACAGGATCGGCGCTGCGAAAAATACGAGCAGCAGGAGAAGGGCTTGGCAGGAGGGTGGCAGGCGGAATAAACAATGGGGCGATGAGCGGGAGCGTGGGCAGGGCGACCGTGCATGTAAGGCGTGGGGCGGGTGTCTGTAGAATGTATGTAGGATGTCTGTAGATTGTAGAATGTATGTAAGATGTCTGTAGAATGTATGTCGCATGTGTTGTGTAGGTATAATGATTGTCAAGCGCGAATGAGATAGTGGAAAGGTTCTCACCCGGGGGAGTAAGGGGACCCTTTTTCACCGTCCGTGGGAGGGGGTATTATTATGTAAGGGCAAAATTTAGCGCGACGCGTACGTCGGTGAGGAGCGGCGGGCCGGAGTACCAGAGTGCGTGTGAGGCCAGTCCGCCGTATGATAGCCTCCGGCGGGAAAGGCGTGCCCGCCGGGTGAAAGGCAGCGGCTGGCCGGCACCTGGGACTCGCGGACCCGCCTCTCATGGCATTTGCCAGTGCGGTGTCGTCGGGGCAACATCTTTCGGTAAGCGATCTTTTCCATCCCCCCCTAAATTAACGCCGCAGCGCCCAGGCGCTGCGGAAGTCCCCGACATATGTCCTGGATTTTATTTGGCTTTCCGACCCGCCGCAAATAGCGGTGGGCACTCCCGTTTATATCCAGGGCCGTCCCATCTAAATTATAATTAATCGGCGCGGCGCGTGGCGTATATGAGTGAGCGATTGTAATTGTGATGTGTATAGTGTGCGTGAGGAAAATGATCCGAGAGAATGACACTTCGTCCCGCGAGACCAAAATACAATGTAATGGGAATGTGAGCCAAATCTTTCAATGGGGTAAAGGCAGATGCCGGGCTGATACACGGTGAACGTGAACGAACAATCATACGGGCCGCTTAGTTTAATACACCCGGGTGGCAGGCGGGCATTGTAGAGTAACTTTGATTAACGTAATGTCTGTACATGGGGGGAACCAATAAAAGGTTGCAGGTTCCGATGCGTAAAACCCCTACATAGTGAGCAATGAGCATTGCAGTAAGTATAAACATAAAAAATGTTACAAAATAGCCTTTATCAGGTACGAGGGGAAGCACACCCCTTCCCCGCCTCGAGTCACGATCGGACCACCACCCTTCACACTTAACCCTCACCGGTTTAGTCCACTTTTGCATCCTTCGAAGGCACAGCAACAAGGAACAAACAAAAATAGGTACAGTTGGTAACTTCTGCACTCCGTAGTGTACTTCAAATTTATCCTATGTTGTGTGACATTGTAACCACTTGTGGACTGTTTGATGAGGTCAGGTGAGCCGCGAGGTCATGTATGTTAACCCAGGCCCGTATGTGGGGGGGGGGGGGGGGGTCGAACGGACCCTCTCGATTTTTTTTCGCGAATAACTCGCGTAAAAAGCGGCCGATCGTGACGAATCTTTCAGTACCCTCGCGAGTCGCGGTAATCAATTTCACACCTACCCTGAAAATTTCATGACCCTGGTCCCTGACCCAGATGATCTTATCTTTGGCCTATGACCTATTTCTCGAGACCATGTTTGGCCGGAATCGCGATTCGGTGTATGTCGGCTCGCATTAGCCGCGCGTTTGTAGTCTTCGTGGTTTCAAGCGCCCAAACATGTGATATGATGTTGGTCCCTCCCATGCATTAAGGTGGATGTCAAGGTCACGTGAAGTTCAGGTCAGGTCACTGACCTCTAATGACCTTGGTTCACTTTTTCGAATTTTATGTTTCTAGGCTAGTTTTTTTTTTAGCTAAATTCGAATTTAACAGCCATTTGAACACTTTTAAAGTAGTTTTGGTGCCTTCGTAAGATGCTACGAAGCTGTCAGAGGCGGTTGTCAGTTGTCACGTACTACGAATACCCGGCAGGACCCCTACTGGTTGACCTGACCTGACCCGACTTGGCCTAAATGCATGAAGACATCATCTGTGATCAAAACTGACATGGTATTCGTGATAAGCATAAAAACAAAACAAAAACATAGCAGCCACACTTTACGACGTTCTAACAGGTCCCGATTTTACCGATTTTTGGATCATTGACCTGACCTGGAAGGTCAACCAATGACCTAAGACCTTAACACGCGCAGTGGAAGGGTTGCGAGTACTACACCCAGAGGAAGGGTCGAAGTTGTCGAAGTTGTCGAAGCCGAGATATTAGGGGGGCCACAACTTGTCGCCCCCCCCCTAATATCTCGGCTTCCACTGGAGCTAGAAAGACGAAATTTTGTGGGTAGGTGGGGGCCCTGAGGAACTCTGTTGTGTGTGAATTTCATGACCCTAGGTCATATCTTCAAGGTCAAATGAGGTCAAATTTGGTCAAATCTGCCGTATGAGCGACTTTTTTGCGTTTACACGCCGATAACTCAAAAAGTTACCGGCCGATTTTCTTTTTTCTTTCACTATACGAAAGAACATACATTTGTGAGTACGTATGATGAATTTCTAGTTAAATCTAACAATAAATATGGCAGTTAGAAGCCTGCTAAGAGTAAGATGTCGCCGGCTGAAGCGGGATCGGCCGACGCGGGAAACGCGGCAATCACAATAATTGTGATTTCACTTGACACAAAATTTTGTGTTTACACGCTCATAACTCAAGTTTTCACAAGCCGAGTTTCAAACTTTTTTGACCATAAGATTGCCTGTACATTTCTTAGTCTTCTCACAAAATTTGACGCGAATCAAATGTAATCAGCGGTAAGGAGCGCCATGGGCGGCGGAACGGGGATGGCACCGGGGCACCGTGCCCCCTTTGATTTTGGCATTTTAACATTAGCCCTATGGGCGTTGCATGGAAAGAATGGGACCAAAAGTCGGCAGTGCCCCCCTTTAATTGAAGGTGTTCCGCCGCTACTGAGGAGCGCCGGCGCGATGCAAAAACGGAACCCGGCCCCTGCCCCGGCACAGTCTACAATTCAGGCGGCGCGTAACGGCCGCGCCGGCAGTCGCGCCGCCGCGGCGGCAGGATGTTTGACTTTACACCGCTATTACTGGAAAAGTTGTGAACCGATTTTCTTATTTCTTGCACGAGAAGATCCGCAATTCAATTGTGGACAAGTAGCCAAAATTTCAAATTGATATTATGTTTTCGGCGCGAGTTATTGTCGAAAAACTGGAGGGATGGGCGAAATCCACCCCCGCCCCCTCATTCCACTGCGCGTGTTAAAATTGGGTATCATCGGCTTCCTCTCGTCACGGGCAGCACGCTCGTTTTTTCCGCGAAGCTCTATAGCTCGAAGCTCTATAGCAGGGGCCAAACAGCGAGGGAGGGGGGTTCCAACGCCCATTACGTTCGCGGCTGGAAAAAAAACAATACGGGCGAGGGTTATATTAATTTAAATGTTCAAATTACTCCCTGCTATGCCAGATAAACTTCAATATTTCCTAGCTGTCCTACATGCCAGTGACTTACCACCACTGATAGTTTTCCCACATAATTTCACCAGAAATTATTTTGACCCTTTAATATTTGAGTTGTCACAGTGACCCACCTTGATGATTTTTCTAGAGCCATCTGCTTCCAGTCTTCCACCAAGATCAATTACTTTCTTCGGATCCACTGCAGCTATACCTTTCTCCAGTTCATTTACTATCACTTCACAAACTGGAAATGAGGTTCATATCAGATTTAACATTAAATCACTCAAATGACTGAAGAAATCAATTATCATGATTACTATCATCATTGAAATAACTTGAGTTTCTAGTAAAAATCAACATTAACTGACAGTCCCACCATCTAAATTGAAATGCTCATCAAAGGCCAGAGTAGGTATCCAGTTGCTCACCAATGCCTTGCGCCTCTGACTGACTCTGACTCTGACCTCAAGCACAAAAGTGAAAAATAAAAATATTTTTAAGACAGCAGGTATCATGCAAAGTCCTGGTCAACCAGCCACAACAGTGTGGAATTCCTAGTTTAAAAAAAAACATCACAAAAATAGACATCAATGATATCAAAACTCACAAGGCAGTAGAAGCCTGTCTCTCTTAATTCAGCCATTTGCATTTGAGTGAAAACCATTCTTACAGATCTTATTCTTAGCTGAGATGCATGCTTTAGTCTGTTCCATAGGATCCAAGCTTGCAGTCCAACTGTCCAGCTGAAAGCACTGCAGTGTGTGACTTATACGCTTGTCTCAAATTATTGAACGAAGATAAATGCCGAAACAGCTTTGACCACAAGCTTGATAGATGATATGGAACATACTTTAATTTAATAACTTTGATTTTCATTCTCTCAGAGCAACTTACCCATACAGTTGAGGTCATCATCAAAAGCAGCATAACCTTTTTGTATGCTCAAAACCATCAAAAGAACAGGAAGTAATGAAATAGCCAGCATCCTAATATAAATTCTGAAGAGTAGAGGCGATGCGACAACGTGGTTCCTTCACTGTAAATTGGAAATAGAAGACTGGGACTTGACTTGTCTTGAATCTATGGTATGCTCAACCCCACAACAGAACCTTTCCGGGCTGAGACTGGTTTCAAATGAGGGCCTTTTGAAAAGAGCTTGATCCAAGCTTGATCCTAGGCCTGAAGCCCTAGGCCTGAGACATTTGTCAACGAAAAGCGAGGACCGAATGCCACCCAACGCAAAATTCTAAACGGTTTTATTGACCAATCATTGACAAAAACAAAATAAATACGTGGCATAACGCTATAGGAAATGTCATGAGCTGCTTTTGTAACTACTGCGTGACATTTGTCGTCCTATCAAAAGTAAACAATAGACGACTCTGATGCTTGCTTCACAAAAAAGTTTCGTATTTGCAATATCATTCTTTATTTTTAATTAAGGTAAATTAACATCAAAACTTTGACATAAGCTTTTTGTTCAAATGAAAAGAGGAATGAAAAACATCGCGGTTTCTAGAGCAATGAATTGATTTTTGACTGGCGCAGCACGCTCAATTATGTGCACTACATAGTGTTCTAAAATGGACGTCAGCAGCTAGCTTATGCATTCTGATTTCGCGTTGCCAGGCCACTCTGACAATTGCCAGCGCTCAATGGCTCAGCGTACGGCTTATAACTCGCTCACAACGCTATTGAACACAATTCGACGAATTTCATTTTTATCGACGGTTTTGTCTCTATCTGTTATCTGTAAGAATCTTGGCATTGTCCAAGATCTTTTTATTTTGTTTTGTCATTTGTGACATTTTCTTGTTGTTAAAATTTTAAAGATGATCGCCAGAACTTTGTGGAGGCTGACACACTGTGAATTACTGACAGTTAGGCCGCATGGCCAACAACGACGATTGCTGTTCTGGAGAAAGGGAATGAAAACCAATGGATTCGGGTGAGTTTAGTAGTTAGCCATGCTTGAAGAGGGTGATTCTGGTCTAGGGAGGGAAACACATTGACACACATAAGGCGATTATTCAAATACGTCCACGGCTTTGGACTGTGGCGCTTGGTAAAAGAGCCTGGAAGTGCTGAAAAGACGTGGCCTGTCGCTGCCTCCAACTGCACGCCTTCAACTGCATGCTGCAACTGCAAGCTGGACTGCTGCACTGCCACCCCTGCTCTGCACGTCTGCACGCCTGCACGCCTTGCCTCGTTGTCAGTACCACTAAGTGTCAGCCTGGTTGCTATTTCCTTTGCACGCTTGCTGCAGCACCCTTGTGACGCCCAGTCTCAGACCGCAACCTGCCACACCTGTCCTTGCACCCTGTTTGCATGAAGATTGTTGAACTATGCGTCGGGGTAACCAAAGGAATAAGGGAACTAGGGGAGCGAAGAGAGACAGGAGTGCAAGTGTGTCTAACCCTCCAACCCAAAGGGGTGAGGAGTGCCTCTGCGGTACTTGTGGCGATGATGTTGGCCCTGACCCTGTGGGATGTGACAAGTGTGAGCAGTGGGTGCATGGATCACAGATGTGTTCGGGACTGCCGCTGGAGCTCATTAATGCTATATTAAAGTATGATGGGGCAGGGATTCAATTTATATGCATGAAATGCAGGGTCGAACAGGTGACTGCTCGGGGCAATTCCCCAAGTGGCCACACAGACCCCCACCTCGCGGAGACTGTCAAACAGCTGCATGTCCAGGTGAAGGGAATGTGTGCTGTGATCAAGGAACTCACCTCTCAAGTCAAGGAGCTTTCTTCCAGAACTCCCCAACTCCCCAACCACGATGCTGCTTTGGTGAATGTGCAGGGACAAACCGCTGCTCCTCATCCCCTACCACACCAGCCTATCACTGCCACTAACCCCTCTCAGGACTACCGTACCCTCATTAGGGAGGAGATGAAGGAGCAGAAGGAACGGGACAAACGCCGTGCCTTTGTCGTAGTCAAGGGTTTGCCTGCCTCATCTACCACTGAGTTCAAGGCCAAGTTCACTGAGTTTGCCAGGAATCACACAGGGACTAGAGTAGAAGCTTCTGAGGTACTGGCTATCCCTGGCCAAAGTAACTTCTTCAGAGTCAAAATCCCTGATGATGAAAGTAGAAAGCTCTTGCTGGATAAAGCCAAACAGCTAAAGGATTCTGATGACTATAGAGGCATCTTCATATCTAGGGACCTGACTTATGCCCAGAGAACTGAGCAGTACTTGAGACGCAGGCAGGCGCGGCAGGCCCAGGAGCCCCAAACTGGAGATGGAGATGGAGCTGTGCAATCTCGCCAAGCCTCTTCAGTGACAGCAGGGGGTTCCTCGGCTGCTAGAGCTGACAATGCTGATCACCCTCCCCAGGCTCAGGCTGCTGCTGCTGCTCGTGATGCCCCTTCCACCTCTGTCGCGGGAAACTGAATGATCTGCCTAAATCTACCCTGATTCGTCTTTCACAGGTCAATCTCAATGGCTTAAGCTCCAAGGTGAACATGCTTTTTGATTTTGCAGATTCGTCAAAACTTGACATTGTTTGTGTTACTGAATCTCATCTCCTCCAGCACATTCCAGACTCATTTGTAAACATTCCTAACTATAATCTCATTAGAAATGATACTAATGGTACAGTGTACAAACATGGTGTATGTGCCTATGTGCATAACAACATCACTGTTGGTAATGTTCAAGCTCCAATTCCCAATGTTCTCACCTTCTGTCTTGTGTCTTATAATGTTTTTGTTGCTGTAGTCTACCGACCTCCCTCTTATTCTGACACTGAGAACGAACTTGTTTGCTCCTTTCTAAGTAACTTCTGCAGTGATAAGGAAGTGATATTGTTGGGAGATTTCAATCTCCCTGGACTTGACTGGTGCCATGGAAATCCACTTAATAGTTCAGGAGGATCGAGGACAATCCAAATGTTTGTTGACATATTTAACTCTCTTGGACTTACGCAGTGGGTTACACAGCCAACCTACCCGAGGTCAGGCAATACACTGGACCTGGTCTTCACATCTGAGCCAGACCGTATTGGTCAACTTATGGTACAAGCCCCTCTCCCAGGTTGTGACCACTGTCCGACGATATGTGACTATGTCTTTGAAAATGTTGCTGCTGACCCTCATGGGAGGACAATGTCCCACAGGAGAAACTGGCACAAAGCTCGATATGCTTCAATGCGTAGATCACTACAGCTCTTGGACTGGGACTTCGAGCTGGCCTACCTGAATGTGGAGGACTCGTTTAACCGTTTCACAGCCATCATTTCAGAGATGGTAGACCTACATGTGCCAACACAGCAAGCTAATCCCCCTAAACCACCCTGGAAAACAAGACCCCCGATTTCCTTAATTCACAGGCGCCAGGCAGCTTGGCAGACGTACAAGAGGGTGAGGCAGCAATCTGGCAGAAGCTCTACTGGTACACTGGCCGCATATAAGCTTTTCTCATCTGTAAACCGCGAGTTGCGAAATTTTGCCGCCAGATCGCAGTGTGATTACGAATCTAGTCTTATTGACAGGTCAAAGGACAACCCCAAACTGCTCCATTCTTATATAAGAAACAAGAAGACTGGCAGACCAGCGGTTGGTCCCTTGCTTTTGCAATCTGGTCACCATACTGATGATCCCACAGCTATGGCTGAGCTACTTGCAACATCTTTTGCCTCTGTATTCACCACTGTCACCCCCACTAACCCCTCGCCCCACCAGGCCTTCGACGGGACTCTCAGCCATGTAGAAGTATGTACAGAGAATGTTCGCCATGCTCTCAAAGATCTCGACCCTAACTCTGCCATGGGCCCCGATGGAATACATCCACAGGTATTGAAGGAATGTGCTGATGACCTCGCCTACCCTCTACAGATTATATACACGAGATCACAGAGAGAGGGACGACTACCCTCTTGCTGGAAAAAATCCCTAGTTATACCTATTTTCAAGAAGGGCTCCCGGTTTGATCCACTAAACTATAGACCTATCAGTCTGACGTCTGTTGTGTGCAAAACGATGGAACGCCTGATTTGCACGCAGATACGTAATTACCTGGAAACGAACTCACTGCTGACCTCAAACCAATTCGGTTTCAGGGCTGGCAGAAGTACAATGGACCAGCTACTCCTAGCTTATAACACAGTGTCTAAAAACATGGACCTTGGTGGCGTGACTGACGTCATTCTCTTCGATTTCAGTAAGGCGTTCGATGTCGTCTGCCACGATCTCATGATAACCAAACTGAGATCGATTGGTTTGACAGGTGCTCTCATTGACTGGATACGTTCATTTCTCCAGGGCAGACAGATGCAGGTGTGTGTGAAGGACATGATAAGCCAACCTAGGGTTGTCAGCAGTGGTGTACCGCAGGGCTCTGTCCTTGGGCCCCTGTTGTTCCTGGTTTATATTGACGGCGTAGCATCACAGCTGAGAAGTGAATATAAAATTTTTGCAGATGACCTGAAACTTTATGCCTGTGTGAAACATGCCCCAGGAACCTCACCAGTGTTATCCTCTGCCCAAGTACAAAAAGACATTGATACACTACAAACCACAGCAGCATCGTGGTGTCTGAAAATGAACCCAAAGAAATGTGCAGTTCTCCGCTTTGCGAGGCCCCGCGCTAACTTGCCTTCACCGGTGTACTTCCTTGATGGACAGCAAATCCCACATGTAGATTCTCACTCTGATCTTGGTGTTACTGTCGACTCGCAGCTTAAATTTCACGAGCACATTAGGACTGTTGCACACAAGGCTAGCGGTCTGGCCCATAGTTTTCTTAAGTCTACCGTTTGCAGGTCTCGCGCATTTATGTTGTTCTTGCTCACTACTCATATCCGACCTGTTATAGAATACTGTTCATGCTTGTGGCATACAGGTTATCTGAAAGACTTGCGGGTCTTAGAAAATGTTCAGAGGAAGTGGACAAAGCGAGTGGATGGAATGAATGGATTAAGCTATGCAGATCGCCTACAGTCCTTGAACCTGTATTCTGTCCAAGGGAGGCTCATTCGTGCGGACTTGATACAATGTTGGAAGCTGTTTAACGGTAGATCGTGCCTGAGTCCAGATGACCTGTTCGACCGCCCTCCACAGGAGCGGACTAGGGGCCACTGCTTTAGGATTTTCCCCACTCTCACCCACACAGACACTAGAAAGCGCTTTTTCTCTGTCAGATGCATTGCTGTTTGGAACTCACTGCCTGAGGATGCTGTCCGTGCACCTAACATAGCTAGCTTTAAGAAAATGATTGAGGTACATGCACGTAATAGCCTGTTCAGATATGATTGAGGATGAGCAGTGCTGATTTTGTAAGTAGTTATAGGTATGTAGGTTACTTCCTCGTAGCTAAGCGTGTAGAA